GTTTTCGGTACTACAGTTTATGTGCATGAAACTTGATGTGTTTGGCTAAATTTGTGCATTTAAAATTATTGCGCATGTCCTTTAAATAAGTTTATATTCTCCTGCGAAGTTGTAAAGCTACTTTTGAAACACGGTGTACATATCATGACTCTCATATTACATAGCGTGTGTGAACAGACTGGATGTTAATGGTATGTCTGCCTATCACAGCTGGCAGTCATATTGATATCTTGCTGTAGCCATGAATTTATGACATTTTTGACAATACAACAGTGACATGTCTAATCACATGTGACATCAAAGTAAATCTACACATATAAAGTGTAGAATGTAACAGTGTATACTTGTAAGTTAAGAATAATTAATTTAATCATATGCAGATTTTCAGAGTTTACTCAAAATTATAAAATCTGTATCTTGGACAGATCAGTATACACGCTTTTACATTCAAATGAAGTGGCCAAACAGAATGTAAGCGTGAATGAATAAATGGAAGAGGGGTAAGTGGCACTGTTTTCAAACTTCGCATCATCTTCTACATTTCAGTATTCTTTCCACTTCATATGAAGTACAGTACTCTGCCTAGTGGGGGCCTTATTATAGTCATAAAGTGCATTCCGAGGAAGGTTTGATTTTGGGTCAATGAGCCCATGACTGTAACAGTTGCTTGGTACACCTACGTAAAAATACTTTCTTTGGATTCTCTTTGTTTAAGTGGGCCAAAAATATTTGCTCCAGCCCTGGTAATGCTAAGGAGACATGAAAATATTACTACTGAAAAATATGTAAAATTCTTTCCAATTTAAAATTTCTCAAGATGATAAATTAGAAACTGTTTGTTGACCAAATTTGATTATATTTAATGATAAAGTAAAAGTGTGAAAAATATATATTTAAGGTTTTATCGTGATCCTAATTCACTCCATCATACTATGCCATGTGGTGAAAGTTACCAAAATTCCTCTAAAATGTCAGCAGCAGAGTGAAACATTCAGAAGATTCTACAGCGAATGTGAAAACAACTTCACCACTTGTAGTCTGGCAGTTGGCATGAAACCTTATTAATCAAAGGGGTAACAATCTTATACCCCACCTTATTTAGTAGTATTGCACAACTGATGAGTCAATAACACAAGACAACTCTAACAAGGGGAGAAAATTCTAAATTCTGTTACAATACTTTCAAATATTATTAAGCCTTAAAAATTATAATATCAGCAAAGAATAATTAAGTTAGGGAACAATTCTTTAAAATTAAATGTACTTCACCAGGCCTGTAGGGTTCTATGATCGTGACTGTCTGTGGTGGAACATTCAATTTCTGATTATCCAGGTCATGTAAATTCAGATCACCATTCAGTAAAGCATGAGCAATGGCTGGAATAACTTCCTTTGCAGTCTTCACATCCGTATCCACCAGCATCACAGTAACGATTATGCTACCTAGAAACAATTCACTCATCTTCACACTGATCACAGAAGCTATGGTACTGTACAGTGAAAGTAAATATTAAGAAAATAATGTGTGTTTATAAGCACACTATATTTTGAAGGAATTATTTTTGGTACCACATCATGAACATTTATGTTTTAAGGTTGAGAAATAAAGTTTATTCTCCTAAATTTCATCAATCCACTTTAGGAACCCTTTCCTTGAAAAGTTAGAGCATTCACCTAAAATTACATTCTCTTCTAAATAAGTCTCCATTACATGTTCCTTTCATCCCCTCCATAAACAACAAACTTTACAATGTTTCATAATTTTGCTTCTGAATGAAAAGGAAATTAGTGTAACTATATATCTAAATTATGCAGATGGAATAAGAACACTAACAAATTACATTTCTGTAAAACTAACAAACACAGGAACAACCAGTGGATTTAGAATAACAAACAGAAATGCATGTATATTTTAAGTAAACTTTCTGAAATGTCTTGTACACCCCCAATGATATGGAAATCGCTCATCTTGCCAGATTCCAACCTCTGTTACAATTCCTAAGGCTGGAAAACTATAAATATACAACATAACAGGATCACACCTTGTCTTAATACCATTAGCAATACTTCTCTTACATTTATGTACGTAAAACAGATACCAAAATTTCTTAATGTTATTACTTGGTAAATATATTTATATTTGAAGAAAATTGTTTTATTAGTTTATAGATTTTTACCTGGAGATATATCAATATCTTGAATCATTCTTTCAGGCATTTGTATTTGTCCCAAGATTTCACAGCACAGTTTCTGTTTAAACTGTTCCTTCCGCTTGCCCACGGTTGCATTAAAGTCTTCCTCAATCCTATACATTAAATCTCTTTTTAGAGAAATATAACAATTAAAGTGATACATAACTGAAGGCATTTAATTGATTGACTACATATTGCCAGGTCCCTGAACATACTCCGGTCACCTATAGCAATGCCATCTCAGTTTACATTGTCTTAACATTTCTCTGCAACTAAGACAATTTTTTTTATAAAAGTCACAATGTACTATCTAAGCTGTATTAAAAGTTTCCAAACTAAAAATCCTTGGTTCTGGAAATGTTATGTGTGAAAATTAGTATTCTGTTAATTAAATAAAGTGTGCTGTTTCTGTATAAAATATAAAATAAATACATTAGCAACATTAAGCTGAAATTAAACACCAACTGTACAACAGCATAGCCTGCTTCTTAATACACCATATCGCCTGCTGAGAACAATAGTGACGTAACTCAGAAATCACCGATTTTGAGTTATATCCATAAATAGACTTGCAACATTCACCTTGAAATCATGCATAGGCAGCGGAAGTGTAGGTCCGCCCTATGCCGCTAGGTAATGATAAACGCCACTATTGTCGGGAAGGTTTCACTCCATCTCTTCGTGCATGAGAGACGTAAGACAGTGTGCGGCCGACCTCGATGGCGTTAGGATTGGTAAGTTCACGTCAATAGTGACGGATGTTGATTTACATCAGTAATGCACCAACTGTGAAAATTGTTTGTTAAAACACTAAAGACATATTTTCGACTTACGTGAGTAATGCGTCATTTTCTAGATTACTTGAACGTGTTTACTGTTGACTTACGTCACTATTCATTCTTATCGGTTGTTTTACCTAACGTGCGTTTATTGTGAGCAGTGCCGAAAATGACTACAAGAGGAGAGAAGATCCTTTTATCTATGGGAATAACGTAAGTAAATCTTGATAGATTTTGTTTTGAAAGGTTTTTTTACAGTTTGCTATAATTAAAAGCTTACTATGCAACTGTGCCTTAGTAATCTTAAATCGAATTATTTTTGAAGAATAAACTGGTTTAGAAAACGAAATAATATGTATTACGTCATTATTACCCCACAAAGTATTTGAAAGTTATGCATCACGTCATGCATTAGCTATGTAACTCATTCTAAAAATAAGCCAAAAAGCAGAAAACTTACAAATTACATTAATTCAAAGCATATTGTGAATAAAGTAAAAGGAATTACTCGAAAAATTTGTATGGCGGACGAGGAATGGAAGATTGAAGTTGCTCCAAAAGTTCGAAGGCATTTTTCTCGAAACTGTGATTTCTGAGTTACGTCACTATTGTTTTTAGCAGGCAATATGTACGTTTGTGTTGCAGTCGAAAGGAATCTGACGAATCGAGTAGGAGAGATAGTCGGATTTGGCGAGACAACTGAAGATAACCCCACAATGCCTTGTACCTTACAGAGGGCCTACATTCAGATCTTCACAAACAGAGAATGCAATGAATTAGAGCTACCTTCAAACATACCCAGTCCACGAATTTTATGCGCTGGCGTTATTGGTGGAGGGGTAGACAGCTGCCTGGTGAGACAACTAGTAAAAGCAAACGATTATAGTTACTCACCTAGTCAATAAATATTTACTTTTCTGGTATCCGAAGGTTCATCAATGCGTTTCCAATAACACCATTATTGTACTAGCCCAAATCAGTTTGGTTTCAGTCAACGCCTTCGTAGCAGACTACCCGCAGCTTATCTACTAAGGACAAATTCGAAAAGTGCTATATTTATTAGTTCTTGCCAAAAACTCTATCGTAGGCATGATCATTTGATACGCATAGTCGAATGCCATAGTTTAGGATCGGTTACTCTAGGTTATGTTAGGTGTGGTTAGGTTAGGTTAGGTTAGGCTTTATTGGGTTTACTGGATTAGGAGAGGTTAGTTTGTATTATCTTGAGTTATGTTACATTGTGTTACGTCCATATTTTAGGTTCTCAATTTAGGGTTGTCAGGAATGGTTCGATTTCAATAGGTTAGTTCATTTTCGTTAAGTTAGATTCGTTTGGGTTCGATTACTTTTGGTTATGTTAGGTTTGGTTTGTTTGGGTGATGTTGAGTTGGAGTATTATGAAGGTTTTTGCCAAATATCTACTTCGAAACGTCCGGCCCTCTTCTCCCGTCAATAGTTTCCAAGATGCAGGAAACATCTGCTCTGGGATTCGAACCCAGGGCAGTTTCTGCAATCTTTGAACCTGTAATATTCTAGACCAAAGAAACAACTCCGTTCTTTGCGCTTTCTTTAGAAGTTTTCCGTGATGCATCTTCGCGAAACTTACGCAGCTTCTTTGCATCCAACTCAGTCATGCTACGTTGTGGTCCTCAACCCGCGCATCGCTATTGTATCGGGCGTATTTCGCGAATAATCTTTTTTTTTATATCCTCTTAACACTCGTGCCTACCAACATAAAAGACAAGTAATGTTAACAAAGCAAGTGGAAGTATATACGAGGCTCGTCCTTAAAGTAAGTTTCCCTGGGGCCGTTTACAGAAACAAAACACAATTTCATGGAAATATTTATTGCAACAGATACAGCAAGTGTCCAGCTATTTTTCAACATATTCGCCACCGGAATTGAGACATTTGTCATACCGTGGGACCAACTTTGGAATCCCTGT